TTCAGTACTTTATCTTCCCAAAGTGAAACCCAAATAACCATGATATCAACATGAAATTGTTTTCTTTCATTTGGAAAAAAGAAAGAAACTGAACACTATCTGGGAATTAAAAAAATATAGAATATTTCATTATTTCCCAGGAAAGAGAGTAAAAGAGCCACTCCCCTCCCCCCAGGCTCTGCATTTAGTTCCTTTCTTGGAATTCCTGGATCTTACTTCTTCACTCTAATCCTCTTGAGAGCAAACACAAACTTATATAAATTGGATATCTCAATGGTTGGCACTACTCCTTCCAGAATTTCCTGGTGTCATGCTTGCAAAGCCACTAGAAGACACTCAATGAATCACAAGTAACTTTTCAGGAGAGGGAAGGTACTGGGTCAATAAAAAGAATTGAATATATATTGTATTTTTTAAAAATTGATTTATTCTTTTGAAAATAATTGGGCAGTATAATTAAATTTTATAGTGAACCAGAAATTGTTGTAAGTAAGACACAACAGTGAAGTTAGGTTTTTTTTTTTTTTTTTGGTAGCTAGAAAAAAACAATTATGATATATAAGTTAAACAAAGGTCTTAAATTTTCCATTGAAATTTATTGATAAAGTTTATAAATTTCTATATGGTTGCATATAAAAATGGTTTTGCAAAATACAGGAAGTATACAAGACATGATTTAGTATGTATTTCAATAATGCTAAAATAGACTCTCCTCTTAGAGATTATGTCTTAATAAAAATTTTTGTTATATGCTATTTAATTCACTGCCAGATACAACAGATTTCATTTTTGGTATTTTATCATCTTGAAAGCGGCACTTACTTAAGATATATTGCTTTTTGCTCCTGAAACCTATACACTCATTTCAGATACAAAAAGTGCTTAAACTAAAAATGAAATTTTTCTGCTGTCAAGAAATATTCTTGAATTCAACAGATAGAAAAATAACAGATATCTTACTAAGGTGCACATTTTAGGGTAGGTGTGAGATTTTTCTTTTTGGCAAACATGTCTCCAGGAGATGATGACATGGCTGTTTATAAACCATACTTTGATTAACAAGAATTAGATGGGAGAAACTATAAGCAGATAAAGCCATGGAATTCCTTGCTGCTCAAATGGGTCAGAAATGAATTGTTGCCTATGATTAGAGATGGTGAGGGTGATAGGAGGTTTACTGAAACAGAAGCAAGATATAAATGTTAGCTCCAGTGTTTAGAAGCAATGGCTACCTCTGGAACGTGGTCATTTACATGGAAGAGTTGGTAGGATGTAGAGAAAATATGCCTATCGAGTAATTTAAAAATTCTAAGTCATCTGGAATTTTATTGTTCATTTGGTTTCATTTGGAATACTGTTTGTTTTGGGGAGAGGTTTATTAGCTACCTTTTAAACAGCAGGTACTGCCTTCCTAATATTTTAATCTTTCTCAAACCAGATGTCTCTAGCAGCATAATAACTAGGTTTCATGGTTTGTGGGAATTAAATTTCTCCCATTTATTTCAACAAGCTGTTACTGCTAACCTGCCTTGTGCAAACACCTCTGTATTAAGTGCTACAGGCTTGGAAGGTTAATGGGATGCCTTTTCTCAAGAAATTTGCAGTTGAGATAGTTAATTGCAATGCTAGAAGAAGGAAACAACGGTATTTGAAATCAAAATCAGCTTTAAGATGAGGAAGTGGAACCACCATTCTCTAAGATCCTGGGATACCACAATAGTCTATAATTTTGTAAGATTATCTCCAACTGGGAGAATAAAAAAAAAAAGGCTTCTAGAAGAAAATGATATTTGAGCTGAGCCTTGAAGTGGTCAGAGATGAAGGAACTGGCAATCAGCAGAGGAAAGGGAGTTAATCATGCCATGAAGTGGGCATTGTCAGGGCAAGATGGAGAGAACTGTGTTCAGAGGGGGTGCGTGCATTGCAGTCTGAAGGGAGCAAAGGCTACAACCAGATTATGTTTGTAGTGTGCAAGACCATCTCTGCTGTTCTAACCAAGGAGTGTTTCCCCAGATCTTTTCCTGGTTGTCCAATAAGAAAAGGTATGTGTGGTCTTGATAAAGACTTAGATCATTTCTTCATGGACCCATTATTTTTAACACATTCTTGAGCATTTAATTTTAGTGAAAATTCTACTTCTACTTTTCAAATAATGTTGTAATTGATATCTAATGACAACAATTTTGTTTGGTTTGAAGTTTCGCTCTCCTTTCTGCCACTGCTTTCTGAAATGGAGGTTTCTCTGCCTATTCTTCTTGTTTATTGTCACTTACCTGTTTACCCTGTTCCCTGCTTATAAGAAGAAAACATTTTCAAGATTTCATTGCTACCCATTACCAATTGCTCTGTGCTTTTATAAGGCTAATTTGTGAACCGTGAGCTATTTGGAATAAATCAGATGCCAGATACTATTTTTGCTTTGTGATGTCATGATGTGTAAATTTTTTTAAAGATTTATTTATTTATACAAGAACCGGGGTACAGGCCAGATATGCGGGTGGGTGAGAGGATTCACCAGAGACAGAGCAGGGAGCAGAACAGACAGACTGACTGAAATACACTGCTAAGGGGAGCAGCAGGCGAGACAGGAGAGGTCTGCCGTACCATGTGGATATCTCCCCAGCCGGCCAGGATCACACCTGCACTGCAGAGGCTGCGGACAGCTTCATAGCACAGTGCTCAACCACCTGTGCCATCAGGGAAGGTCCTGTAATTTTTTTTTTATATAGATAGTTATAGAATAGATTCATAGAAGAAATCTTTTTCTTCTAGCTTAGTTTCCAGTGCTACATTTGAATATAGCCTATTTGTCAACCCTGGAACTACTTCCAAGTAGCCTTTGTTACTGTAGTGTGTAAATTATCATTATGGTCCATCTTAAATATGAGAGAATGAACAAAAACATTCAATGTCATGAATTTTCATAAATTTCAGCCTTTGCTTATCATTTATATTATACTAAAAATAACATTTACACTTCTATATTAAGATACTAATCCAGGGCCTCCCTGGTAGCACAGCCATTAAAGTCTCAGCCCAATCATGTTATTGCCAGCCACTGCTGCATGAGATTGATCCCCAGCCAGGGAGCTAATCCCCAGCCAGGAGATTGATCCACAGCCATGGCACAGCAGACCTTTCCTTTCTTGCCCGCAGCTCCCCTCAGCAGTGTATTCAGTAGATCTGCCTGTTCTGCTCCCCCCTCTGTCTCTGGTGAATCCTCTCACCCTCCCCCTATCCTCACCTTTGGCCTATATCCCAGTTCTTGTATTAAAAAAAAAAAAGATACTAATGCAAATTTGGAAATTATTCAAGATGTGCTATAGCCCTGCTTATTAACAGGTTTAATTGAAAATTAACACAATCACCCCTTTGGGTGAAATTTACTTTTAGGCTAAGGAAAGCTTTGGAGTTTAAAAAAAGAATTTATATTTGAAAATTTGTAATTCAATTTTTAAATCGTATATATATAAATTGACATTTTCTGAGTGTAGTAAAACATCAAACAGTCATTATTACTGTTTATTCCAGGTTTTAATCAGTGCTGGTTTCGATAAGAAACTTTTCCTAACTCTTTCCCCCCTTTGTCAGGAAAGATTGACAGAACATGAAAGAATGAAAGGATTTCATGATACTGTCAGATGATAAAGGGACACTGTGTGCTATTTCTTAGTATTCTAAAGTGGAACTAAGTTAAATCTGCCTAAATATATGAGCTTGCTAAACATGCATGACAATTGAATTTCTGTGAGTTGGGAGAATCCAACACAGGTGCAGAGTGCCTCTTCTGTCTGATTCATTCAAGATTGGGCCTGCTTTTCTGTTGTTCACAAAGTGGACTTGACACTTTGTTAAAGGCAGAGTCAGGCTTCTCCAGAGCCTGTCAGTGAGCTGTTTTTCCTGGCAGTGTTATCCCAAAGTAAATAGGAAGGTGAATAACCCACTGAATTGGATGTATGTCAGTTTGTCCATCTTCTCTTATTCAGCCCAATGTTACCAACAGGAGTCACAGGAGATTTGATTCACCCAAGTCTTTAAACATGAAATTTGTGATCTTTATGAATCACTCAGGGATCGAGTATATGACACGGCTTCCCAAGTTACAACCTAAGATAAGGCAGATAACTCAAGACACAGAGGAAAGGTGAGTGGAGAGTGAAGGAGGGGAGGGGAAGAGAGAGAAGCAGAGAGGAGAGAAATGAAGACAGAGTAGAGAGGGAAAGAGCAATGGAGCATTGACCCAGGCTAGAGAGACCTGGATTCCTGTACTCTTCCATAGCCTTATGCCATTTTGAACACATCGGCAGCCTTTTTATTAAATATTGAAGATTTCAAATTAGTAAACAAATGCAAAATGAAAAGCATTGTGACTTCACTTAGTTTATGTGCAATTAGAATTTTTTTTTAAATATTTTATTTATGTATACAAGAGCTGGGGTTCAGGCCAGATGTGCGGGAGGGTGAGAGGATTCACCAGAGAGAGTGGGGAGCAGAACAGGCAGATCTACTGAAATACACTGCTGAGGGGAGCAGCGGGCGAGACAGGAGAGGTCTGCTGAGCCATGTGGGTATCTCCCTGGCCGGCCGGGAATTGAACCTGCGCTGCAGAGGCTTCGGACAGCTTCACAGCACTGCGCTCAACCTGCTGCGCCGCCAGGGAGGCCCGCATTTAGTATTTTTAAGGTCAAAGAGAATTTACTTGTAGCTCAAAGAAGTTTTTAGGAAAGTGCTCTAAATGAAAGCTGACAACAAATTTTTTCCCCAAAACTCTTTTCTTCAAAAAAATAGGGATAAAATAAGATAGACTAGAAAGATAAACAGTTGAGTTTTTTTAACTTTCAAATACAAGTAACTCAGAAAACAAACACAACTGATATAATTTAAGTAAATTATAACTGAAACGAATTAGTAACAGGTGATTAAACTTGACTGTACTCTTAGGAGCTGAAATTTACTGGAAACATTTTGAGAAGAAAAGAAACATTGACTCATCTTGCTAGAAAGGAACTTGAAGAGCTAAAGCACCATGGATCTAATTTATATTCCTGAAGACCTATCCAGTTGTCCAAAATTTGAAAATAAATCCTGTCCTCCCACCAGCCGCCCTTTTCATGTTCGAGTGATCATGTATTCAGTTATGACTGGAGCGATGGTTATCACGATCTTTGGCAACCTGGTTATCATGATTTCCATATCACATTTCAAACAGCTTCACTCTCCCACCAATTTTCTGATCCTCTCCATGGCAACAACTGACTTTCTGCTGGGTTCTGTCATCATGCCCTATAGCATGGTGCGATCTGTGGAGAGCTGCTGGTATTTTGGAGATGTCTTTTGTAAATTCCATGCAAGCTTTGACATGATGTTAAGCCTAACTTCCATTTTCCACCTTTGTTCCATTGCTATTGATCGCTTTTATGCCGTGTGTTACCCTTTGCACTACACGACCACCATGACGGTCTCCATGATCAAGCGACTGCTGGCATTTTGCTGGTCAGCCCCTGCTCTTTTTTCCTTCACTTTAGTTCTGTCTGAGGCCAATGTTTCTGGAATGAAGACCTATGAGATCCTTGTTGCTTGCTTCAATTTCTGTGCACTTACTTTCAACAAATTTTGGGGGACAATACTGTTCACTACCTGTTTCTTTACTCCTGGCTCCATCATGGTTGGTATTTATGGTAAAATCTTTATTGTTTCCAAAAGACATGCTCGAGTCATCAGCAGCATGCCTGAGAACACAAGGGGGGAACTGAAAAAAAATTTATCTAAGAAAAAGGACAGGAAAGCGGCTAAGACCCTGGGTATAGTAATGGGGGTGTTTCTAGCTTGCTGGTTGCCTTGTTTTATTGCTGTTTTGATTGACCCTTATTTAGGCTACTCCACTCCCATAATAATACTTGATCTTTTGGTGTGGCTTGGGTACTTCAACTCAACTTGCAACCCCCTAATTCATGGTTTTTTTTATCCATGGTTTCGGAAAGCTCTTAAGTACATAGTGTCAGGAAAAATATTTAGTTCCAGTTCAGAAACTGCAAATCTGTTTCCTGAGGCACATTAATTAAAAATAAAAAGTCATGACAAAAGTTTATAGAATATTGAAAATGAGATTGTTATTATTTTAACCAAAAACACACACCTTACATCCCTAGATCATTGCAAATATTATTCCATTAATTCCTGTAACCCAGAACAGTGTTCTATAACCTGAACAAGAACTATGTTCTGTATCTTTGACCAATCATTAATCAAATATTTATTAATTGTGAACTCAATATCTAACTGATATCTCTGAATGCTGGGGAAAATGTATAAAAGAAATATAAAATTCAGACTAAGTGGGCTTCTATTTATACACAAGACAATTAAAGATCAATGTAAGAACCAGCAAAATAAAATGCTAATAGTTTTGGTTCCCATCTGATTCCACTCTAGGAATTCAGAAAAGGGAAGATTGTTGTGATCTGCAGCTTTGTGGAGAAAGTGTGACAGTATGGTCTTTACTATCAACTATCAAGCAATCCACCTGTCATTTGGCCTGAGACAATTATTAACCATCATTATATAAATTATTCAGTTATTTCCTCATACCCTGAAGCTCCCTACAAAGAGCTCCTTTTCAGAGAAACAGTTGATTACAAGTCAGTACCTGCAATTTGAGCTCTTATCCTTGTGAATTTTCACTTAGTGGCTTATATTTGCAATGACTTCCTATTTCCTCTGTCTCTCTCTTTTATAAAGATTTATTTATTTATGCATACAAGAACTGGGGTGTAAGCCAGAGTTGTGGGAGCGGGGGTGGGGAGGTGAGAGGACTCACCAAAGACAGAGTGGGGAGCAGAACAGGCGCATCTATTGAAACACACTGCTGAGGGGAGCAGCAGGGTGAGACAGGAGAGGTCTGCTGTGTGTTGCTCACTGGCCAGCCATGATCTAACTCTTGCTGCAGTGGCTAGCGATAGCTTGATAGCACTCTGTTTAACCCCTGCGCCACCAGGGAGGCCTCTTCCTTTGTCTCTTGACCTGAAGATTGTGTCTACACCACTGGCCACTGATCTCAAGGACTTTCCTTGTACTTAGTGAAAATCCTTCCAGGAGTGATTTTTCTGTGGTCAACTGAAATAATCACTGCTGTGTAACAATTCAGAGAGAAATTTATTAAAGAGATGATTCAGAGTAAACTGAGGATTCCAGCCAGGGGAGACAGCACCAGATATTTCTCTGAGTGTCAGTCCCATCCTGTAGTTGTTCTAGATTCAGCAACATAGGGATTGTGCACATGGGTTACATCACAGAACAGGTAATTCTTCTATGGAAGAGAGAAAGGAGACAGCTGGTTATATTTTGGCAAATAGAAAAAGGAGGGATGTTATATATAATATCAGAAGTGATCTCTTATTCTAAAGAGTCAGATATTATGGGAATTGCACAAGAACTTTAATGTATAAAGATCTTTCTATCCCAGAGGGTGCTTTTGCAGATGTGAAGGTCTGTCTGTACAACTTATCTCTGTTTCTTCCTCCAGCAACAACCAGGCTGAGAAGGGACATGGTGGCCTTGGTGTGTTGAGTTGGCTGTGTGACATTTCACAGCAAAACAATTACTTCTGTTTTTTTGTTTTTTCATTTGCTGACTTTCAGTGTCCGCAGCTGCAGCCTCAGCAGTTTCCCAAAATGGAGACATGTGTGACGAGCAATAGGATTTTTCTTTCAATTCTCACTGTGAGACATTAACAGACTAACAGAAACTTTCCTTTATTTCAAGAATTGGGAAGTACATGAATATATGTGATCATCATGTCCACATCCCTTCACACTTGGGGTTAAGTTGTAGGAGAAGAGAAGAAGGAGGGATAGACTGATTTTGAATCCAATTTCAGCCTTAGGTCAAGTGATTCAGAAAATTTAGTTTTGGTGTTTTCCGCTCTCTTTGAAGCCCTTCTCTCTAAATATCAGGACACTCTAGTTCTATCCATGGAACATTACCTGGGCTTAACTGCGTCTCAAATGTGATTAGTGAGCGGACCTCCTGGTGTTGCAGTGGTTGAGCGCTGGGTTGCAAAGCTACCCACAGCCTCTGCAGCCCTGGTTCGATCCTTGGCTGCTCCCATTCCCGCCCCCCCCACCATCCGCACCCCCCACCCCCGGCTGTTACGGGGGTCCCACATGGCGCTGCTCCCCTCAGCAGTGTACTTCAGTCCTTCTGCCTGTTCTGCTCCCCGCTCTGGCTCTGGTGAATTCTCTCACCCGTGCTTGTGACTGTACCTAGTGCTTGTATAAATTAAATAAATAAATAAATCTTTAAAAAAAAATATGATTAGTAAGGGCCACTCTCCATCATCAGTATGGTTTTCATTCCCCACAACAGTTTGTAGAAAATAAGTTGCATAAAAATACATAATAAATAGCCATGAAATATTTTTGTGTTCATCAAAGGTTATTTACTAATCCTGTGTAACTTCTGGTCTTGAATAAACATGTCAGGCTGTGTCCAGAAATCCAAGAGGGTGTGAGAAACACTGTTACTGATACCAAACGCCGGCCTCAGTTTCCCTTAGCCAATAAAAGGAAACAGAGTTTGAGAAGAAGGAAGGTAATGTGTTGACAAATGAGGAGGGCAGCAGACTCGGAGTCTGAAAGACCACTGTGCTGCTCTTTGACAGAGGGCAGGGTTATTTATACAAAGAAGTGAAACAAAAGGAAGATGGCAAGGGTTGGCATGTCCTTTTGATGCAGGCATATGGAGATTTCAGGTGGGTGCCTGCTTGCTTGGTTCACACCTGATGTTTAACTTATTATTCAGGTAGACCACTCCATTAAACTTCAAGAAGACAAAGTTAAATGCAACAGATAGGAATGCTTATCTAATGGGGCAGGAAGTGAGACCTGTCCTGTTTCACTGCATCACCAGGAGACTTCTGGAGCCTCCCACACCAAGGACCTCACCCAGTCATGCCTCTCCCTGACTCGCCCACCTCAGTGGAGACAGACACTCCATGTCCAGTGAGCCTTCTGCTGAGCGTGGCTTCCTCTCAGTCCCTCGTTTGTTTCTCTACTTGTGAATTAGTTTTTGATCTAAAATATGGGGTGTGTTTGTGTGTTACAGAGAAAAAATTATTCACTACACTTCTGGAAGGTGAGAAGGTGACTCTTCAAGGGAGACTACTCTAATGGGGTTTTTGTAATAGGGGAGAGAGAGCAGACTCCAATCTGAATCCAACAAACCCCAAATGGGGATTTATACCCCAGGAACAGGGCAGGGCAGTGAATGGAAGTGACTGTGAGGAAGCCTCAGGGTTAAGGAATCGTGCTAGGATGACTCAGCAGAATTCTTGCTGAAGGCAGGCCAGGGAGGTAAGATACTGAGACAGGTTGGCCAGAAAGGTGGAGAATTTTTTCTAAACTGACTTAACAGTATTCTTGTTCAAAGTGGATTCTACAAGGGCAGAGAGAGCAGCCCCAGCCTAGGCTCAGTCAAGCAGAGCAGATGACCCAAGGACTGATGGGACAGCAGCTTACAGGAGAGTGTTGCACTGACTGTCCAGGGGCTTCTCCAGAAGCTGCTTTAGGGGTTGCTTGTCAAGGGGAGAAGGGAACTTTGCAGGCAGTCAGTTCTAGTGTGTGGGACACTGGCCTGCGTACACTGAGCGCTGTCAGTTGATAAAAACTATTGATTATAGCGGAGTGGTCTACCTGAATAGACTTAGGTAGCCAGTGGCATGAGCTATGTAGCTGTAATGGTGCAGGGAAGCAGTCCCTAGCCATTGAGATGGATACTGAGTACGCAATACAGGATATAAATATTGATTTAGAAATCACTGTAACATCTCTCCCCCGGCCCATGTTAACTAGAGTTCTCACTCCTGGTGTCACCAGTTTCCAATCTGCTCTGCACAGTTATCTGAAGCTGACACTTTTCCTTTTGAATACCTTACAGTTTCTATACTAGATCCCTTTCGATTTTCCTAGATGTCTCCAGTCTCTGTGTGGGAGGCGCTTTATCCTGGGGTGTTTCATGGTATTTTACCACAGCAGTGGGAGGTGGGAGGAAGGATGGTAGAAGGAGGGTGAAATCTGGGTTCCTACCCCAGCAGCCTCCTTGCTACTTTGCTGCAGGGCAGCTGTGTTCCTCCAGGAAGAGCCTGGGGAGTGTGCTTCCTGCAGCCACCCTCTCCACAGGCTATAGCTGCTCCCTCCCCTGTACTTGGGCCCAGCCTGGATGGTTCCCTGCTGTTCTGCCTCAGGGCACAAGACTGTTTCTTGCAGGTTTCTTTAAATGCTGCCCACTTCCTTAAAGAGAATCCCTTATTAAACCCTCTTCAATAATCCAGGCAGGTTGGACCATCGCTTTCCTGCAGGCCATCTGTTTCCTACCTGCTGGATGTAGTTAATCATTGCTCTGAGATAAAGTCTTAAAAATTTCCCCCAAGGTACCTAGTCTGTACAAGCTCTGCTGGCCTTTCTTTGTATTTCCACATGTGGTTCATGCTCTGGGGCCCACATTCTTCAGAATCTTTGGCATCCAAGACTTTCCCCCAGTTTGCCCTGTCTGGGGCACACTCACCTTTCTCTTCCACTCTCAGGTTTCTTATTTGTTAGAACAGCTGTCATCTTGAAAACTTCTGGTGTCATTTTTGCAAATGGAAAAGATTATTTAAAGTAGTACTGATTTTTTAATTATTATTTCATTTATATAGTAATATTGAAAAATCAGGTGGGGAGGGAACACAATGGACTGTGCGATGGACTATGGGGGCCTTGGGGGTGGGTCTGCTACAGTAACAACACCTGAAGGGGGGGCCCTATGTTTCTATAAAATACTAAGAATGATGTAAAGCAATGTTGCCTCAATAAAAAGATTTTAAAAAGAAAAATCAAGTCTTCCTTAAAAAAACATATTTACCATACATTTTATTTCTTCTATTTTATAAAATTTATATAACTTACAAATGGAATATGTTGTTCTATTTATACATTTAGCAACTTTTAAAAACTTTAAAAGGGTAATAACAGTCTAGTTAATGTTGAATTCCCTTACATTTTATTTATGTCTAGCAAATATAATATTCATCGCCCTTTTTGATAATTT